ATTTCTTTATTCATTTCTTTCTCCCGGCGGCATTGGGTTAAAGTTGATCAATTCAAGGAATGATCACATACAGAACTTACTAAGCTTATATAGAAATTTATTTCATGTTCTGCATGCAGCTATAGTTTATTTTTTGAAAATTCTTGTCTAAAACAGGAACAAGAGTACAATATCAAAACCAACTTTACCTTGTGGCATTAATATTAACATCTATAATTCAAAACAAGAAAGAAAGAAAAAGAAAAAAACTAATCAGTTTTGTCACATACTTGCTCAAAATCTTACATGTGGAAAGGTAGTAATCAACCTTACACTAATATAAATCTGAATTCCACATAAAAGTAACATCTATTGTCTAAGATCATTTATGTGTGACCTTGTATGAACTAACTTTGTATTTAGTTATTCTTTATATTGTCTCAAAGAAGGTAATACTTATCTAACACCTCTATATTCTTAATCCTCAAGACAAAAACGATACAATTACATTAATAAATGATTTTATTTTGCTTACAAATAGAACAGCTCATGGGGTACTACTTGACAAAAGCCATTTCTCAAGTCAAAATCAGACAACCTCGGGACCCAACAATCTTCTGGAATACACATGTCATCACGAGCCAAGTAGCACGTCTGGAACTCACTGAAGTCCAAATGACTAATTAGTTTGCCCTCCACAGATATACATATACATATTAATAATATAGGCAATAAATCATATTTATAAAAATCTATGCTCACTACTTTCCCTTTAGATCAAATGCTCTTTGCATGAATTCCGCAAGACCTCTAACCCAGTGAGCCTGGGTCACCGCTGAAGCGACAACACGGAATCAACTTCATATCTGCTATGCTGTAAAGATCAATAAAACAATTGTAATAAGTGACTAATATATATATATATATATATATATATATATATATATATTTACTATATATTATCGATATATATATATATATATATATATTATAATATATATCTATATATGAATAACTATACCCTTACTATGTTAATCAGTCCTATTAATAGTTTTTTTGTAATTTGCCCTTTAAAATTAATAGGC